ACCTGGATTAGCGAGAGTTCAAGGGAGCACAATCTCATTCTCGCTTATAGAGGTTTCTCACTAACCCGAGTTTCTCGCTAATGCACCCTCTGAATTTCATTTTGCGATTTTCCGGATTCAAACGCATTCACTATTTTAAGTTTATCACTTAATGACAGTACTTTAATTTTCCGTTTTGACATGATGCAGAACAGAACTTTCCTTCGCAATTGATTAACGATAAACTGAGTAAGTCCGACAAACAGGACGGTACACAGGCACACGTGTCCATTCGAAAAGAATGCGATAAAATAACAACGTTATTTAGTTCTACGAAATAGAACACGTTCAATATTGACGAGAAACCAATACAAAAACAATGATAGGAAGTTCCACAAAAGTTAAGAATGAGTCATAAAATTGCAGATTTTAAATTTGTAATTTGTTTTCTTATTTATTCCTCCTAAATAATATAAATAAATAAAGCTCGACTGTCACTTATAGAGGTATAGATAAGTAGCAGTCTCACTTACGGAGGTCCATGAGGGAAAAACGACTCTCTCTTACAGAGGTTTCTGTTTCTCGCTAATAGAAGTTTTGGGAGCTTAAAATGACGGGTCCTGGCTATTATTCTCACTTATAGAGTTTTCTCACTTATCCAGTTCTCACTTACCCAGGTTTGACTGTACATGCTTATCAAATGTTCACGAATGACTTACACACAATAACATCGTATAATACGAATAATAAATATGAGTGAATCGCGGCCCATCTGACTTAAAGTGGTTACCGGAGCCCACAGACATCTACAACGTAAATGCCACGACCCACCTCGAGACAAATTACTAAAGATCTTTATAATACTGCCAAAGCTTATTTCAATGCAGTCATGGGAGAATGCCGAATTGGAAGTACAAATAAATGTGTGGCGAATCGAGAATAAAACCACCTGGATTTGAAAGCAGGAACGATAGGAAGCAAATGCCTGTTAACTTTCTTGAGCAGGAAAGGTTATTATTAATTAACTTATTATTTAAAGAGCAGCCCCAAAAAAATGGGATATGGCGAAGCTCAGACTCTAAGACAAAAAATGATATGCATTTTTATCACTGCGGATAAAAACGCATATTTATAACTATACTTGAGACCTTATAGCTTATATCTCAAGGTGGGTGGCGTATTTACGTTGTAGATGTCTATGGGCTCCAGTAATCACTTAACACCAGGTAGGCTATGAGCTCGTCCACCCATCTAAGCAAAAAATAAATAAATAAATAAACATAATATATGTATACAATATACTTCGGATTTATAATATTAGTGTAAAAGCATAGATTATACAGTAAATAGTCGAAGAATTTGACTATAAACAAGATTACGTTCCGCATAATGTAACAGTAAAACTACATAAAAAATTATATAATACAGATATGAAGGATGTTCTTGAAAATAAATAAAGTTGTTATGAAACCAGAAAACTATTTTAGAAGCTTTCATTTTAATTTCCCGCCCATACCACGATATCAATTACTATTTCTCCAACACGTTCTTGACATCAAAACTACCACGTCTTTCTTTTTATCAAAGAATTACGACTTTAACTCCTAAAGCATAAAATACATTTTCGTTTCGCTCGCAAACATCGGTTCTCATTTCGCTAACAACTGAAATTCATTTTCCTATTGAAAAATGCAATTTCCCTAACGTAATATGTGCGTAATATTTTACGGGGTTTTGTAAAAATAATCGTAAGCAATAAATAAAGGGATAGGTCGCAGCGTCAAACGGATTTTGTATCTGACTTTGTGGGCGGTAATTAAAAACGTAACATCGAACGTTAACTATTACGTTTTGGCTTTCAAGATCCGTCGCTACTATTGTTAACATAAAAAGGACCATACGCCACTAGATCCAAGTTTCAAATAGCTTAATCTGATTACGTACTGAAAAATTACTAGTGTTGCCATTGGAATTTCATACTAAATTCACAGATTTCCTTGAAAAGGGGATTAAGTTTTCGGAGTTTAATGTATAATAAATAATAGTTTAAAAAAACTAACAAAATACGCTTTTATAAAAAATCCAACTAAAAAATAGAAAATAAATTTTTATAAATTTGAATTAAAAATAGTGTAAGAAAAATAGGACGCTTTTCTTTTCAATAAAACCATTTTTTCAGTTTTTTTGTTAAAAATTAATTGTCATCGGTCCTTAATAAGTATACTAAATTTCGAGTTAATCCGACGTTTTGAAGGGGGTCAAAATCATGTTCAAAGATTCCATTACAAGCATACATACGTCTGAAGCTAATAAAAGCGTATTAAAAAAGACAGAAAATAGCGCATCGGCATACGATACAAATAAGCTTTTTCGAACCAAGCACGTTCTTTAATGAACACTCTTGAAGCTCAAGTCAACCTTTTCCAACCTTTTCGCTATGAGCCTAAGCTATACGCCCGGACTGGTAGGTGAGCTCACGGGCTCGACCTAAAAGAATTTGTTAACACTAGCCCTAGCAAGAGCAGTACTTGGCAAAATCTACCACCGGATCGGAATCGTGACCCACTGAGAAGATCCGGCGAGAAACTCAGTGGGCTGTGTCTGAGGGTTAATTTACTCGCGAAGCCCTTCGTCGCAAGCGACGGGTTCGACGAGAACGATGACCGGTGCTTGAGGTACCTAAAAGCACCGTTAGTGGATCGAGAGGATCCGAGATGACGTGATTGGGGCGACGTTGACTGCTTTCCATTCTGTCCGCAGGATCGGGAATGTAGTTATCGGCGGCCACGATGAGAGGTTTCTCGTATCGTGCCGCTTTGTCGAAGTGGGAAGAGCAGTGCTTGGCAGAATCTACCACCGGATCGGAATCGCGACCCACTGCGCGCGCGACATTAAGTCATAAGTCAAAAATTGTACTAATCGCAAATGAAGGGCTTACGCGATCTTGCTTTGCTGCTGCTTTTTAACAAAGTTTTATGTACATTTATACAAATAAACAAACATACGCCATGTAAAGATGTAAAAAAAGCTAATAATACAAAAAAAAAAACTAGCCCACTTACTATAACAAATAAGTTACTATCATTCGTTTCAAAGTGATGAAAGTGAATTAATTTATTTGCTTATTTACGTACGTACCACCACCCTGCCTATTTCTGCCGTGAAGCAGTAATGCGTTTCGGTTTGAAGGGTGGGGTAGCCGTTCTACTTTAGAAACTGAGACTTAGAACTCGTGTCTTAAGGTGAGTAGCAGCTTCTACGTTGTTGATTTCTATAGGCTCCGGCGTCATACCGGTAATGACTTACGGAGCCGAAACGTGGACACTCACAGTACGGTTGGTCCGTCAGCTCAAGGTCGCTCAGCGAGCCATGGAAAGAGCCATGCTCGGAGTTTCTCTGAAGGATAAAATCCGGAATGAGATTGTTGGACAGAGAACTTCATCGACATAGCTCAAAGAGTGGCAGTGGGCTGGCCATATACGGCGTAGGACTGACGATCGCTGGAGGATACGGGTGCTCGAGCGGAGACCGCGCAGCGGAAGACATAACGTGGGACGCCCCCTGGCTAGGTGGTGCAATGACCTCTGAACGGTGGCCGGCAAGAAGTGGATGAGGAGAGCCGTAGTCCGGGCTCAGTGGTGTGGATTGGGAGAGGCCTATGTCCAGCAGTAGACGACTGTGGGCTGTCGATGATGATGATGATGATAGCTCCGGTGACCACTTAACACCAGGTGGGCCGTGAGCTCGTCCACCGATCTAAGTAGAACAATATTTACATATGAATAAAGTATTAATAGTAAATCTGTTTAGCAACGCATCGCCACCCAAATAATAAATATTTTTAATTCCATTTAATTTTTATAATAACAAAGGTGAGGAAAACGTACCGTCAAAATTCCCAGTCATTGAAATACGTAAATCAGTTTTTATTTTTCAATATTTGGAATATCCATGATGCATTTGGAGTTTTGAATCAACACTGTCATCCAATGATGATTTTCTGTTGTTTCCGTGGATTTATAGCAATACCTATCTGTTCCGAACTCATGAAATATCGAAAACCAGGTAAGCCTTTAACTCGACATGAATTATGTAAGAATCTAAGAACGATTAAGTTTTTTTTTTATTGCTGACACGGGTGGACGAGCTCACAAAGTGGTTACTGGAGCCCATAGATATCTACAACGTAAATGCGCCACCCACCTTGAGGTATAAGTTCTAAGATCTCAGTATAGTTACAACGGCTGCCCCACCTTTCAAACCGAAACGCATTGCTGCTTCACGGCAGAAATAGGCAGGGTGATGGTACCTACCCGCGCGGACTCACAAGTGGTCCTACCACCAGTAAGTGGTTGGAGGTAACAGACACAAAAATTCAATTAATTTTCAAATAAAATTCAATAAAACATACATAAATGTCAAACCGAGAACCCCGCCTTTTTTGAAGTGCTTAAAAATAAGATAATAATCCAATAAATGTAACGTCATCATTTGTATGACAAGGATATTAATGATAGAAAGTATATAAATCTTTAAAAATCCTTGTATTAGTTATATACGTGTACGGAAACTAGAAAGATTATGATTTATTAATTATCCACACCTTGACCGATATTACTATAACAGTTGTTTCTAGTGAACAGTTAAGCATTGTTTAATGAAACAAAAAAGTTATAGTTTTCACATGAAAACAAAAAAAAACAAAAACAATTGAGCGCCCTGTTTAAATTGAGAACGTTTTCTGTTATAATAGCTTGTTTCGCGGGACATCTTTAGTATGAAAAAGTTGACTTGACAATTCAGTTCTGTTTTCCCGCCAATTATTTTTTTTTCGTCCAAAACGTTTGCCCGGATTTTATTGTCTTTGTCAATAGTTAAGTGATAGATAAGTGAAATAATTCTGCATTCAAACTAATAAGGTTACGTCTAATATTAACACTAAGCTTAGGGTCGAGCTGGGGCGTTTCATCCCCAGCTATAAAGCTGGGGCACACATTATACACGGCATTCGGAAAGCGGCCATGAAACAGAACGGGACGCGCGCGGTCGCCGTGCTGGCGTTGCTACTGGCCGGTTAGTTTCAAAAGTTTTATACAATTTATTTATTTATTAATTTGCACCAACAAAGTGATCATCAATACAAAACATTGACAAATTGACAAAAGTTCATGGCAGATGTCACCTCAATTATAGGTGCATTCGACAGTGCATTAACAACAAAAATAAAATAAAAAATATGTAACTAAGATTTGATTACATTTGATTGATTGTTTGAAATTAATTTATATTTAATTGGGAAATGATCCGCGACAGATTTTTCCTGTAAGTTGTGAGACAATTAGAAAAAACATCTATTTCATTTAAAATGAGTTCAGCGCAATCGGACAACTCCAATTATCCGAATCATTATTTTATTATAAATCAGATATTTCTTAATAATTGTGTGTAGAGAAACGACGGATAACGGTAAGTTTTTATACGAAAGGTAAGTGTTATCATCGAGAAAAAAAAAAAACAATATTGCCCATATTGTTTCATTTCAACATGTATTGTTATATAAAATTCCTTCCATTTACAATCTCTAAATTAATTTGAAACTTGTTACGAATCATCTTAGAATTCGAGTAATATTTTACAAACCGTTACCTACAATTTATTTAATTTCAAATAACATTAAACTCTGATTTCTATTTAAAACTAGCTGACCCGGCAGACTTCGTAGTGCCTCAATCGATAAATAAAAGACCAAAATTTTGTATAAAAAAAAAACAAAATTGTTATTTTTTATTTAATTCCGGGCATTTTTATATTTATCTAACCTTTTAAACCTTCTCTGGACTTCCACTAATTATTTAAGACCAAAATTAGCCAAATCTGTTCAGCCGTTCTCGAGTTTTAGCGAGACTAACAAACAGTAATTCATTTTTATATATCGAGATATTCCTCTAATATATATCACAAGCACTTTTAGTTCATTTAAAAAACCCTTCAATGTCTACAATAACTATAATTAAAAACGAACTTCGTTGATTAAAACGGTTTAATCCAATTACTGTGTGTAGTTATGGAATACATAAAAAATATTATGATTTCGGAGAAATATGAATACTTTTTTTTTTAATTAATAAGATGTACTTAAAATTGCGCCTTATTCTATTCCTTAGGGAGGAAATTAAGTAGATTACCTCAATAGACACATGCTCGGTAAGTGAAAACTGGTCTCGCATAGATATCGCAAATGAAGCAACGATATATTTAAAAAAATTTAAAAACAAAAATACTTTGTTTGTCTAGCTTTGTCCGTGTTGATGCTTGAAATTGACTCCGAATACCGTTGACAAAATTAAGTCACAACAAACCTAAAGAATTTGAATATCAAATAATATAATATTATAACCTTACCCATCAAGGGCATACGATTTATTCACAAGCATAGGTAGGCGGGTAGTATATTCGGGCAAAACAGAAAAGTGGCTATAATCAATTATTCCTTAAGAAGTTATTCGTTGTGCACCTTTTTGGTAGGTACATCATTCAATCAATCAGAATGATGTTTATTCAAATAGAAGATTAAATATTTTTTTATTGCTTATGTGGGTGGACGAGCTCACAGCCCACCTGGTATTAAGTGGTTACTGGAGCCCATAGACATTTACGACGTAAATGCGCCACCCACCTTGAGATATAAGTTCTAAGGTCTCAAGTATAGTTACAATGGCTGCCCCACCCTTCAAACCGAAACGCATTACTGCTTCACAGCAGAAATAGGCAGGGTGGTGGTATCTACCCGTGCGGACTCACAAGAGGTCCTACTAACTAAAACTGTTGTATTACTGACTCGAAAGTAGCTTCATTGTAGATGCATTGCTCAGTAATACCCACAGACACAGCCCGCTGGGTTTTTTGCTGGATCTTCTCAGTGGGTCGCGTTTCCGATCCGGTGGTAGATTCTGCGATGCACTGCTCTTCCTAGGGCTAGTGTTAGCAACGTTCTTAGGTTAGAACCCCGTGAGCTTAACTACTCGCTCCTTTACACTGACATAATCCCCTAGATTACCACCTTAGATAGAAAAAAAAGCTCAGTAATGCTGATTTCCCATTCCAATAGGTCAAATTTGCAAAACTATACTTAATATTATAAAGAGGAAGGATTTGTGTGTTTGTTTGTATTGAAGAGGCTCCGAAACTACTGAACCGATTTGAAAAATTCTTTCACTGTTTGGAAGCTACACTATTCCTGAGTGACATAGGCTTTAATCTTCTTTGAAAAAATTAGGGATCCTTACTAAAACTCCAATAACGTAACCTATGGTGTAAAATTACCTAAAATATTTTTTACATCGCGTGCCCTGCGAAACCTATTGATGATAGAATAGAATAATGTACTACGACTTTGTAGAACACATTATTATTTACGAAAAGTGTCGCGACAGCATATGTCTAGCTATTTATTGTTATGCCGCAAAAAGTGTTCTTTTATTTTTAAAAATAAAACAACGTCAAATATCGTTGAAATTTTTGATAAAGACCCGAGCGGAACCGCAGCGGACCGCTAGTAAATTATATAATCAAAATATTGTTTATTTGATAAAAACAGGGCTGATCAAAACAATAAGGAAAAAGTTTAACAACTTAATTCCAAGTACAATCATGAGATATTTTATTATTATTTCGAGGCTGATTTCAATTTATCGCCAATTTAGTACATAATGTATTTCCTTACCGCATTAATTGATATATTTTGAAACGTTACCTAAATGATACACGTTTAAATTTCTGTACTTTATTAATAATAAATAATAATAATAAATAAATATTTACTAACAATCACGCCACGTTAACTGGTCCCGTGATAAGTTCGTAAAGAACTTGTGTTACAGGTTCCAGATAACGGAAATAAATGTAAGATTTTTATTATACACATACATATATTTAATAAACATCCATAACCCTGGAAAAGACATTTATATTTATCATACAAATATCTTTCCTTGGCGGGATTCGAACCCGCAACCCCCTTGTGTAGTGACCATGTCACTTACAGACTAGACTAGACACCAGACGGCCGTTAAACACTGTCACTGTCTTTGTTACGGAATGCAAAATATATCCAATAACATTTACCAGCTATGATCCTTTCCACGGCATAATTTTTAATAACTTTATTGTTATTTTGTAAGTAACAAACTCACGGGCCACCGAATGTTAAGCGGTTATCGAGCCCATAACATTGATGCCATAAACTCTGACAGGCAATAAGGGGGTACCAATCAGTGCGTACTTACGGCATTTTATACCACAAATAGTTAAGTCACAAAGAGATGGCGCATTTGTTTTTTTGCTTAGATAGCTGGACGAGCCCACGGCCCACCTGTTGTTCAGTGGTTACTGGAGTCCATTGACGTCAACAACATAAATTCCACCACCCACCTTGAGACATTAAGTTCTAAGTCTAAGTTTCAGCTGAGAAAATAAGCTTAGAATACCGATGCAGCCGTAAGGTGCTGCATTATTTTTTTTTTTTAAATCGGTAAAAGCGTGAACGAGCTCACGATTCACCAGGATTTAAGTGGTTGCCAGAGCCCATAGACACACTACAAAGTGAATCAAGAGTCACCACCTATACAAGTTCCCTTATATTTGACAAAGACTTAAAATGTCATTAGGTTTCGCAGTTTCTGATACAACTAACCCATTGACACAGCCCACTAAATTTCTCGTCGGATCTTCTCAGTAGGTCGCGTTTCCGATCCGTTGGTAGATTTTGCGAAGCACTGCTCTTGCTAGGGCTAGTGTTAGCAATGCCCCCAGGTTGTAGATGTCTATGGGCTCCGATAACCACTTAAATCAGGTGGGCCGTGAGCTCATCCACCCATCTAAGCAATAAAAAAAAGAATCCAACCTCTAGCAGGCGTGTTTGTATACTGACACGCTCTTATTTACTAAATTCTTAAGGCGTTGGATTCATAGGCTTTAACCCCAATTATTATTGGAACGATAACAAGCTTGGCAGCTCTAATCCAAATCCCAATCGCGGTAGTAAATATCCGATAACCTAACGGGTAAGATTTCAATTACCTGACTTGAGAAATAAAAATATCAATGCAACACGAAAACAGATAACCGTTTTCATGTGGGTAATCATTACTTAATTACAACAAGAATCTAGCAAAAATATTGTCCATAATCATTTCCGAATAATCTAAACGCCAACAATCCGATTCAGGTTTTTGCACAGAGCTCATTTCATTTTCCGATACCGTACCGCTATAAAGATCGTTCTTAATAGGCTTAATTTTAATATTGAAAATTGACAACCCTCCATAGTGACTTGATGGAAATATGAAAAACACCGATTAACTTTATCAAATCCTATGCGACCGTTGACATTACTCTGACCTGAAAACTTCCCCCTATTCCCAACAACTACACAAAGCTTCAACTCAATCGATTAAAAGACTTCTTTTTTCTTTTTTTCCTACCTATGCTGATAGCCATGAGAGGTTATTTCAGCTTCGCCCTAACATGTAAGTGAGCTCACGGGGCTTGCTGTGTTGCTAACACTGACCCTAGCAAGAGCAGTGCTTCGCAGAATCTACCCGGATCGGAAACGCGACCCACTGAAAAAATCCGGCGAGAAACTCAGTGGGCTGTATCTGTGGGTTAATTCGCTTGTCGAGCCCTTCGTCGCAAGCGATGGGTTTGATGAGGACGGTGACCGGATAAAAGACATTAAGAACGTGACGTATCAAAGACTAATATTCATTCCCATAAACTTTAACTGTACCCTTATCGCAAAGCAAGGCAGAATTTCGATTTCGCGTCACTATCGAGATACTTTTCCGGTTGTATTCACATTCTATCTATGGAATCCAATATGTCGGTTGATTTAAATGCTAGTTCGTTTTGATCAAATACGTTACCTCCTCTTTTCCCGCCATCATTACCTCTATCTCTGTTGTTAAAATAATGGCAAAAGTAGCCACTTTATTTAATTGATATGTTCGTAGCTTGAAAGATCTCTTTTCATTTAAATGAAAGCCATTTCGCTTCTAATGTAAAAAAACAAGGAA